AATAAGCAGGGCAATGTTTACTGTTGTACTTTGCTGGGAAAAATGCTAAAGGGAACCAAACTCTGTTTTTATAATGAAGATACAGAAGCAGCTTGCAACAAATGGATAATTGCAATTGTGAGAAATGGAATCAGTCAGCTTCAGGTGGAGAATAACATTCCCATAAAACACTTCTAAAGGCTCTTTCAAGTTCAAGCCTTGCAGTTTCTATTTGCCTCCACAACAGGACCATGACTGTATTTCTTGTCACCTGACAAAACCAAAGTGCCTAGAGAGAGAAGTAAATATCTCCATTTCTGTTAAACAGCTAAATTCAGATGGATGTGCTATGGTTACAAATAGCCTCGAGTTGCTGAATAATAGCAAAGGAGAGCAAATTCCTATTGTCTCATATCCTAGAAACCCAAGAACTTTGTGCATAATTTCGATAGAATCAGAGAATAGAAAAATGTATGGTTCTCAAACAAGAAAAGTGTTGCTGGGATTCATTCCAATATAAGTCTTGGTGCAGAAAAAAAAAGGGTCCCTGTTTATTCTCCTATTGTATCCTATAATCACTGAAGGAGAGTGGAATTTTAAAAACCCAACCCCAAACCCTGTTGGTGAGGCACTGGTGTTATTGTAGAATTTGTGGTCCTTGAAATATCTTCATCAACATGCAAACAGATTTGCATTGAGTCTCTAATATACGGAAGAAGAACATGGATAGGAAAATTATAAATCTGTTTGCTACGTATTGGAATGCTGAAATGGCAGGCGTTTCTTTAAAAGCTTGAAAAAGGGTGAATTTGGGGAAATTATGAGGCAGTGCGACATCACATACGAAGTCATAAAATAACAAATTTTAGTTACGCCAGGAGGAAATAAAACTGAAAATAGAAATTGTTTCTAATATATGGTTCCATTGTGGGATATTAGAAAATGTTAGTATGTTTTAGGCTATAGCCCATTTTTTTTAGTTTAATTTCCAAATGTTGGTTGTATTCTTTTAATAACAATATGCTCAACAACTTCCTGTCCTCTAGTTTTACTGTGAAAATAAAAGGGAACACTGAAAGGGCAGCACACATTCTGGTGTGAGTCCTTTTTGCTCTAAAATGTCTGGGTATGATATTTTAGTTACTTTTGGAGGATCAGATAGGATGAGATCTGGTGTCCTTCATTAGCTCTGCCTGGAAGATCCACGACTACGCTAGATTTTGAACTTGGTGCTAACTTGGATTATTCCTAAGAGGGCTTTTGTGTAACTGTCTAGTCTCTACGTTGACCATTAGGTCTCTCCCAAAGTCATTTTATAATAAACCTAGAGTGTTCCCCCACACCCCAAGGGGAGTTTGGTTTCATTGCAAATAGAAATAAAGGTCTTTTCCCCTCCCATCTTCTACCTCCATGCTTCTCTCACTTTCCAGTGACTTCTGCCACATCCTGCCTGTGACTAGTGATCTTTGGCATCTGATTCTTCCCTCTCTTAAGATGTACCGTATCTGAGGATGTCCATTTCCTACTTCAGATTCCCAGGAAAAAAACTGCAGCCCACCTAGGGCACTTGCTCTCAGCT